TCTTGAACATCTAGCTCTCACTATAAAAATTGAGGGCAAGCGAGGCAGGGGTAGACCCAGAACAACACACTTAGGGAACCTAAACAAATGGGTAACAGGGAAAGATCAGGGAAAAGTAGCTTTTGTGAGAGCATCCGAGCAAAGGAATGAATGGAAAACCATGATCGCTGATGTCTGACGCAGATCAGGCACTGGATGATGATGATAATAGGTGTTTTTACACCCCCGTCAATACAATGTAGATAATTTAGTAGGCTGGCTTCTAACCCTGCCTGTCAGGGCCAACCCAGGCTGAGAGGGATATAACTTACCAGCAGAAAGACCGAAAAACTCTGTTAAATTTTTCTCCCCACTCAGGTTTCCTGCACGTAACAGAGAAGAGCCCACCCGCAACATCACAGACGCCGGTACTACATTTGTCATGTGCTAGTGATTTGACAGCATATTGAAACTATAAAACCGAAACAAGTTACAAAACTGTGATAGGAAAGTGAAAGAATGACTATTGATGGGACCAGTAGCGGTAAGTTAATAAAGTTTATAGGTTGTTTAAGAAGCAGGACCTCCAAATTTAAAATCAGTCTCTAATAAGACCAAGCCAAATGGGTTGAGAGTCTTGAAAACTCCACAAAACGACGTAATTGCAAGAACCCCAGTCTGAAATTAAAATCAGGGCTATCCATTCTGTCGTTCAGCATGGATACTATCTGAACTTACCAAGTGCCCCCAGCTTTAGTAAGATTATTTATAATCAGACTCTTCGCCTATGTGAGAGAGGAACAAGACATGGAACCAATCAAAAACCACTTCATGACTGACCCAATCAGCGAGCTCAAGAAAGTGCCTAGAGCTTTTTGTGGAAGTGTGCATGTTGTATGAAGATTAAGACATCCGCTAGTAAATCCGCTGCCACTCCAATTCTCCAGGGTTTCTGTATCTACGCGTTTTCTACATCTTCATTAATTAGAAATGACCATGCATTACCAGTTTCAGCACAGTGAGGTATAACAGGACGCTTTGAAAAATTTATTGTCCAGGCTCTTACTTTTAAGAGAATTTCTGCTTTTAGAAAGGGTTCTTAGGTTGGAAACTATTGGTGTGTCACAACAAGGTGGAACCAGGTACTCATAAATTTTTTAGCATATTGAGTTATTGGTATCACCAGCTTGTTATTTGTCTTGCTTTAAAAAAAAAAACCATCTTTCAAAGGTAGAAGTCAAGATATTTGCGATTGAAGAAAGTGGGGGTCGCCTGGTGTCATAGATAAAATTAGCTCGAAAATGATCACAGCCTTTGTGTCATTAGAAACTGCAAATTTACATTTTTTGTGTCATGATCAACATTTTTTTTTAAAAATCCATATCGAAATGTGATTTAAAATATACATATATGTATATAAAAGGTGTGAGACCAAAAATGAAAATTTAATTTAAATAACCCAATGGCCAAAAAAAAGCTAGTTTCTTTGATTTTTAAAAATTTTGATGAGCACTCAATTTCACCACGATGCCTCATAGAGGGAAAAAAAATCCATCACACAGAAAACATGGGCTCTAAGGCAGACCAGGTTCTTATGCAGAGCAATCTGAGGCAGAGACCACTGTATATTTGCGATATATGTGATTAACCGTCATCAATTTCATAGACTACTTAGTCAGTAGAAATGAAGTCAGGTTGAGCCGAATAAAGATATTTTATTGTTCTAACAAATGTATACAGCCATAAAAAATAAAATGCAAGATCAAGAAGTAAAATCAATACCTCCTCTCTTGGAATAGTAATAAAAATAAAGTTAAGTTACGAATGCTTAGTAATTCACTACTAGCTCCATGTTCTTTCAAATAATATTTTTTTAAGACTTTAGTATAATAACAATAAAAAAGACCTCAAAATTTACTTAAAAATCAAGTACATGTCAACCACAGGTTTTGGGTAAAGAGATGCACATTGACACAATAAGGATCATTAGTGCATGGAAAAAGTAAGGCAGACAGACAAGAAGAAAAGAAGAAAAAAAAGAAAGGACATACCTGTGGTATATCACAACTTCCTGGATTTCATTCGAAGAGTGCACAATGACCAAAAAAAATATATGATTTTTTAAAAGTCAACATAAAGTATGAAAAAGCAAATTTATATAATATATATAGAGGACAGAATGTTACTGATGACCACTCATAGAATTTAAAAAGTCACAAAAAAATCAAAGGAGAATATAGTTAGAAACAAACAAAAACATGGTTGAGCCTTGCAATGTGCCACCTTTCT